CAAATAAAATCAAATATCATACCTTTATTTAGTAGTAAACCCTCACAAAGAATGAATAAAAAACTTCAGATATGGAGACAAAACAACAATAATAAAAATAAAGAAAAGAATCTATTATAATATAAAAATAGGTAAGAGTTTGCTAAAGTCAATGAAAGATTAGACGCATAGGAAAGAGTAGAAGCTAAAGCGAATGAAAGAATAGAGGTAGGGGCTACTGCTGATCAATAGCGACAGTACTAAATTAAAATTAAAATTATAAGTCAATTAAGAATCTTAGCAGAGGTAATTTAATTTGATTAGTTATATTTAGGGATAGAAGTCGGACGAATATTTTAGGGTAGTTGTCTCGCTTTGATCCATTTAATAAGGGTACAAGTAGTTATAAATGGGTGTAGAACGAGTACAAATAGTAAAATTACTACCCACAATAGATACAACTAAAGTATATGTATAGGTCTCTAGGTACCTGCTATTTTAAACAGGTTTGGTCAGATATACTAATGGGTACCCTACCCATTTTTTAATAAAAGATATATTATAAAAAGGGTATTTAAAACAAGTTTAGAACGGATATATGTAGTAAAATTTTAAATGGATTTAAATATGAATACTTAAACAGGTTTGGGACAAGCATGTGTAGTGAAATTTTAAACGGATGCAGATATAGATATCTCAAAATTTATGGGTACCTACTTCCCTCCCTAGTTATATTGATTTTCCATTTGAAAAAATAGAATATAAATTATTAAAATAAAATAAGAAATATTTAACAGAGAATTATAAATTTAATAAAGTGAAAACTTTAACATAACCCCGCATTGAAAAGTTTTATATTAATTAAAATTTTTTATTCAAATAGAAATATAACTAATTAAATTAATTTTTAAATTGTAATGAATCTTTTTTTTTTTTTGAATTTATGAATATTTTTATTGAAATTTTGCTGAAAGAACATAAAAAACTGAAGTTCATAGTAAACATTGTATTTAATTTTTAATTATTTTTATAATTTTATTTATAAAGAATGTAAAAGTGGAAATAAGGAGGCTTGGAGAACTTTGAGATAGGAAATAATAACACAACTAAATTTTTATATATTGAAAAATAAATTTAAATATTATAATTTTATTGGTTAGTGATGAACATTAAGGTCAAAATAAAAAACATATTTTCAAGTTTTTTAGAAGAACCGATGATAATCTTGATTTGTGGAGGAGGAGATCTAATGAAAGAGTTCCAAATAGAATACAACTGCAATTTTCGTTACAGAAGTTAAATACATTATTGCATCAAATGCAACAATGGAGCCGTTTGGATTGACAAAAATTGCTATTTAACTTGGAGCGGTTGCACTCAATATGTCACCATTTTCAGTTTTCTATAACAACAATGGGGCTGTAGCTCAAGCCAAAGAATCTAGACTGTACTCTTTAGAGTTGCAAATATGAGTGACAGGTGATCTTTAATATCAAATACTTAAAAAAATAGTTCCTAGTTGGAGGATCATATTTAATTTTATACTGTCTTTTTTTTGAAAAAAAATCAAACTAGAAATTTCATTAAGAGGAAATTATAGACAGATATGGATATAAATCAATATGTTTCTATATTTTTATATAAGAAGTTTAATAATAAACCATTTATATAAAGCATAAAAAAAAATAAAATTTTGATTTGAAGTATCTGATCGAGTTGATAGAGCATAATATTTGTGCCATAGCCGATCACTTGCTCCACATGGTGGCTATTCATTGCCACTGTTATCTTTCTACAAATCTGATCTAATCATCTTCAAATTTCTTCTTTTTAAAGAAAAGATTTGCACTTCTTTCGACATATCTTTCCAAATAAAAAAAAGTACTATAGATAAAATCATCATAATGGTAATAACAGTAACTCATAACTATATCTGAGAACTAAATTTCAAGATATTAGCAGCAATAAATCCTAGTATTTGAGTAACAATAACTCACATATGTATCAAAAGATACCAATGTGAGGATTATTTAAAAAGAAAAATACATATAAAAGGGAAATGGGTGACCACGGGAAAGCTCACCGGCGACCACCGATGGGAAAAGCTCTCTTTTTTTTTTTTTTTTTTTTTTTAAAAGAAAAATAAATATAAAGGGAAATGGGTGGGACCACGGGAAAGCTCACCGGCGACCACCGATGGGAAAAGCTCTCTTTTTTTTTTTTTTTTTTTTTTTTTTTTGCTTTTTTGTTACTTTTTTACTTTTTTTTACTTTTTTACTATTCTAAAATCAAATTTTGACGAGTTTTCTCACGAAGTGAGTTAACTCTCTCTCGGGATGCTGAGATCTTTGCTCTCGTGTATTACATAAAAAGCCTTTTATGACCATCCTATATTGTAAACCCTATTTTTAACAAAGTTGTGCCATCACTTTTATCACCTTTCCTTTTATTCTTTCTACCCTTTTACGTTCTTTTAGCTACTTTAATGGATATTGATGAAGTAGATGATAGGTTGATTGTGGAGTTTTATCAACATTTGAGAATGTGGAAGACAATAATGGTAGATTGGAATATGCTGATAATATGGAATCGTAAGAGCAAGATGTACAAGATTTGGATTGGCAACATTGCATGGTGGGGAGTACTAACCGAGAAATCCATTCATTTTCTAATTTTTAAACAAATTATGACTAGCGTATGGAAGCTAGTGATGGAGGTGATTATGAAAGAAAGTGTTAACAACGCTTTTCTCTTCCAATTTTTTCATCAACTCGATATGGAACAAAATAAGTGAAGGATTAGCCAAAACTACATATCCATCACTTTCAAATGAAGGTTGCAATTCTCTAAAGCCAAAGCAACAGAACAAAAGGGGATATCAACTTGCAGGATTGTTTGTAAATCTATTAATCTAACTTGAAAAGTTCGATTAAACTTTGTACAAACTGAAACCATGCTATATATAAAATTAGATCAAACAAATTTTGTAAACTAGCTTGTTTGAATTGAACAAATAGTGATATTTAGTTATTTTTCATAATTTTTAGTGTGTTTAAAGTGTCTTTTGCTATCTTTTCAATAGGTAGTGTTAAGTGTTTTATTTAATTTTAATGTTTATTTGTTTTTCCATTTATTTTAGTTGTTTTTAATGTTTTTATAGGTATTTTGGTGGATTCGGAGACTTGGAAGAAAATTGATGCGGTTTGAAGAAAAAGAGCTTGGAGTACAGAGATTTTCACAACTCAACTGTGGAAAGCAGAAATGACTGTGGAAAATGGGCTGGAAACTTGGAGACCACGACGTGATCGTGGAAAATAAAAGAGCATTTAGGAGATGGACAGTTACGAAAAAAGAACATAGGTTTTTCTTTCAGGAGACTTTTACGCTTTTGAGGATATATTACTGGGTATGATTAGAACATGGGGAGATAAGAACATATAGGAAAAAAAAAAAGGCATAGAATAGAGAGAGAGAGAGAGAGAGAGATAGGTCTCTTCTTCCTTACTGGTGTGGAGCAAGAAACCATAAGTAGATATTGGATTTCAGAGTTTGATTTCTATTTCTGTAATATCTAGATTTAAGCATGAATTTCTTCTCTTTATTTCTTGTGTTCTTTTGAATATAGCTATAGAGTAGTCTTCTTTTGTTAGGGGAAACATGAACCCTTGATTTTGATGGATGTTTAATTTCTAATATATGAATTTCAATTTAAGTTTTATGCAAAAGTTTGATCTCGATGCTTATGTGTTATTTGATTGATATTATTTCTTTGATTCATTTCCTAGTAGGAGGAATTAAGAATTTGGGGTTAATCAATTTCATACATGTTCTTATGATTTTTGCATAACTTATTAGTCTTCGGTGTTTTCTGGTAGAAGCCTAAGATTGATTTGTGGCTCAATTCGTTTCCTGGTAGGAGGAATTATAAATTGGTTCAACTTTATGCAATTCAATCTTTAAGTTTCCTAGTAGGAGTTAAAATTGGATTGAAAATTTATTTCCTAGTAGCATAAATAGGCTCAAGAATAACCTGCCAATCTAAAAATTCATTTTCTATTTCGAAATTGCATCCTAATTAGTCAAGGTGGATTGTGAATCCTAACTCTTTAAATCGTTAGTTTATTCTAAAAATTCAATTATTTGCTTACTTAATTTAATTAGTTTACTTAATTACAATCTCTTATTTAATCATTTCCTCAAATAATAGTGTTACTTTTGCATTAATTGGCCTCCTAACTTTAGTCTCCAAGGGAATGATATTTGGGACTCTAAGTCCCGTACTACTTGAACGACTAGTACACTTGCTAGTGTTGGCTAGGACGCGTCAAGATTTTGGCGCCGCAGCCGGGGACCATAGATTTGGTTGAAACTTTTCTAATATTTATCCATTTATTTGAGATTTTATAGTTTTTGTTTGAGCTTATTTATTTCAGGGACTATTGTTAGTTTATGAGTAGAGCTAGTGGTAAGCAACTAGGAGAATTTGATCCAGAACCTGAAAGATCTTTTCACTTGAGGAGAAGATTAGTCCATCGTACCAATATGGAACCCCCTATTATTCCTTATGAAATTGTTAATGTTGGAGGAGGTAATGGTGGAAATAATGGAGGAAACAATGGTGCTAACAATGGCCAAAATAGAGATCAAAGACCACAATGCACCATGCAAGACTATGTGATGGCACAACCGAATGGAGTCGCACCTCTTATTATTAGGCCAATTATTCTAGCAAATAATTTTGAGATCAAACCTCAAATTATTCAAATGATTCAAAATGGATATCAATTTGGATGTTTAGACCATGAAGATCCTCATCAACATATTTTAAATTTCCTTGAGTTGTGCACCACATTAAAATATAATGGAGTACCGATAAGGCAGTTTGGTTAAGACTTTTTCCCTTTACCTTAAGGGATAAAGCAAAGAGTTGGCTTACATCTTTGCCATCTGGTTCCATTAGATCATGGGAGGATCCACAAAAGAAGTTTTTCGGTAAATATTTTCCACCTAGCAAAACTATGAAAATACTAAATGAAGTTTCTCCTTTCATGCAGGGCGAGACTGAGTCAATTTATGAGGCATGGGAAAGGTTTAAGGACCTATTGAGAAAGTATCCTCATCATCAAATACTTTTATGGATGCAAGTGCAAAATTTTTATAAAGGTATTAATGTTCATGCTAGGAAGATGATTGATGTTGCTGCTGGAGGTTCTTTGAATAGGAAAACTCCACAAGAAGCATACGATCTTATTAATGAGATGATCTCCAACATGTATTTGTATCATGATGAAAGAGCTCAACCGAAGAAAACATATGGGTTGTATAGCATTGATGCTATGACATCTCTAGCTGCTTAAGTAGAGGCTTTGAATAGAAAGATAGAGGAATTACAAATTCAACAACCTATAGTTGGGACAATTGCTTGTGATTTTTATGGTGGAGGGCACCCTAACCATGAGTGTCAAACAGGTAATATGTTTGATGTTAATTCAGTTCTTGATCAAGCTAACAGGTAATATGTCTAATTGAATTTTTTTAATTATTTAAAATAAGTTAACTGCATTACACTTTCTATAACATGATAATCTAAAAAACAGCCTGCGGAAAACAGATATTTTAATAATATATTAAACACGATTTATAAAATAAAATAACATTATGCTTTCAAGAAAAATACAATAACAATAAAATAACTTAAAGAAAAAATTGATTTTTAATTTGTATTTATAAATTATAAACTATCAAAGAAACCCGCGCATAACACGGGCCTTCACCTAGTTATTAATAATTAGAAACACTATTCACTACAAAAAAAATCAAGATTATGTACCGATACTTTTGTAGGTAAATCCTGAAATTTTGTCCGTAATTATGATTACCTATAGAACAGCAACAAAATTTTTTTATCGGTAAAGTCATTGCACTAATTTTTTTCGACCAATAATTTTTCTGTCGATAATTTAGCGACAGAAAATTTATCGGTAAATTCATTATATTTTTCAGTAAATTTGAATTCTAATTGGTTATAAATTTATCGTTAATTTTATCGGTAATATTCAGTCAGTAATCTGTCGGTATTTTATCAGTATTTCGTAAAAATTACTCATTATTATTTATTTTTAATTTAAATTATTTGGTCAGTAATTTGTTGGGAAACAGTCGGTAATACTAGCCTTTTTATCTTTATTTTTAATTAATATAATAATTGCATTTTAATAATTATACTAATATTAATTAAAATTTTTATAATTATTCTAAATAAGAAAATTAGAAGGCACAAATAAGAAAAAGAAAGAAAAAAAAAAGATGGAGATGGAGATGGAGATGGAGATGGGGGATAAGAAAAAAGAAGAAAAGATGAGAAAAAAAAAACAAGAAAGAGAAGGAGAAAACATAAGAGAATAAGAAAGAGAAGAATAAGAGAAAAAAAAAAAAAAAGAAAAAGAAAGAGGAAGAAAGAAAAGGAAGAATTGATAAGAAGAAGAAGAAGAAGAAGAAAGAAAGAAGAAGAAAAAAAGAAAAAATGCTTTCAAAAAAAAAAAAAAAAAAGAAAGATAGAGATAAACAAAAAAAAAAAAATTGAAGAACAAGATGTATTGAAGAAGGAAAAAAAAAGAAGATAGGAAGAAAGAAAAAAGGAAGATGATGATGAAAAAGGGAAAAAAAAAAAAAGAAAGACAAGAAGAAAGAAGAAATGAAGAAGAAAAAAAAAAAGGAGAAGAAAACTAAGGTAAGGAGAAGAAAAAAAAGAATGAGAAGTTAGATGAAGAAAAAACAAAGCGTTAATCCATAAAAATAAATTTTCGGTTTAGCGACAGAATTTTTTGTCACTAAATCTTATCTATACTGCTCATCGATCCTGCACAAAATTTTTGAAATCTTTTTCAAAATTGGTTGGTAATTGGTCGATAAATGCCTACAAATTAGTAATAAAAAATTTTATTGCTAATCAGTTGGTAATCTATCAATAATTTGTCACTAAATTCCATCGTTTTCCTCCCATTTATACCGCTCAAAATTCAAAATTTTTATAGAAATCAGTCAGTAATCTATTGGTAATTAGTCAGTAATCTGTCGATAATCAGTCGGTAAATTGTCGAACTACTCGCAAATTTATGGTGCGCTTTTTATCGATAAAATATAAATTTATGGGTAAAAGTTATGGGTAATTTGTTGGTAATCTATCAGTAATCAATCACTACAATTATATAACCTTCTTTCATTTAAAATTAAATTTTGTTAGTAAACAGTTATTAATCTGTCGGTATTTATCAATAAAATTTGTCTGTCAATAAAATCTGTCGCTAAATGCTGATTTTTATAGTGATTAAGACTATTTTTTAAAATATTTGTATTATTACTTATAATTTTAATTTTATAATATTTATTATGTATTGTACCTATTACCTATCATATTATTGCTATAAGGTATAAATATAATATTACTCATTATAATAATAATTGTATTACTAGATATAATTATAATTAAAAAGTTTTATAATTAATGTATTTATTTGAATAATATTCATAATTAAAATAATTGTGATTAAAATAATACTAAAAACACATAATTATAATAATATTAATGATAATTAAAATAGTGCTAATTATAAAACTCTTTCTTAAAATTATAATCTTAATTATCATAATTAATAAGAAAGATTTGTTATATATTATAATATATAGTGACATACATGTTATTATATTGTTATCTATTAAAGTAATATTAGTTATAACTACAATACTAGCTCATTATTAATACAAAAGATAACCTACATATAATGATACTGCTTATGACTATATATAATAATATATGCGAGTATGACTATGTATATAAATTTGATTAGATATAACACTATGTAGTTTTAACATAAGGACGCGTTTTCTATTTTAAAATATTATATAATTATTGATCCATAATTTTCCTTGTATATTTGTAATCAATAACAAAAAATTATATCATAATTTGGCAATACATTTATCTATAATAATTTTTGAAATAATAATTAATAAAAATAATAAGTTTATAATAAAATAAAATAAATATCAATAAATTTATAATGAGTCCATTCATGAGCCTATTAAATGAACTAATTCACGAATTTATTTACGAGTTTATTCACGAACCTCATAAATAAGAAGTTCGCTAGTCTTATCGAACTGAACTATCTCATGCTCAAACTTGGTTTATTTAGAAAATGAATTTGAATCGAACCCAGCTTTTATCGGGCCGAATTTTGAATAGTTCACGATTAGAGGTTGATTTAGGGCCCTATAGACGGCTGGACCTTTTCTGGCCCAGTATACAATAGCTAAGAACGAATATTTGTTCAGTTTAAGCTAGCTAAGAAGTTTTCTCGAAACGCAAATATAATTAATTTCAACGGAAATTTGATAAAAAAAAATTGCAAATTACTTATAATTTTTTCATAGTTTTGAACTACCACATCGTCCTTTATATTTATCAAAAAGTTTTTATTCCATAATTTCATACTTCCGTTACCAATCCGTCGAGGGCAAGGCCTGGCCTCCGACACTATAAATGCCTGTGCTTCCCAATCCCTATAAAACCCGGTAAACCCTTCTTCTCGATTTCTTTTGTTTTTAGTTCGCAAAGATGGCTTCAATCAATAATCCTCACAACCCTGAACCCGCCGCAGATGCCGCAACCAAGAAAATCACCCTCAAGGCGGCCGACAACCACTGCTTCGAGGTGGAGGAGTCTGTGGCAATGGAATTCACCACGGTGAAAAATTTCTTCGACGACAATAGTGAGACGCTGACAGGCACTGTGATTCCGCTGCCGAATGTATACGCGGTACATCTGTCCAAAATCATCACTTACTGCAGACAGCACTTGAAGTTCCGTGCAGAATCTGTGCCGGAGAAAGAGAGGAAGGCTTATGACGCTAACTTCGTTAAGGAACTGAGCAACGAACAGCTGAGGGAGATGATATTGGCCAGTAATTATCTGAATTTTAGGAGTTTGCTGGATATGCTTAATCAGGCTACGGCTGATCTGATCAAGAACAAGAGCGTCGAGTTTGTGAGAGAATTTTTTGGGATCGAGAATGATTTCACTGAGGAAGAGGAGCAAAGGCTCCGCCAGGAGAACGCATGGGCTTTTGAGGGACTTGATCAGGACTGAATCTTTTTTCTTTTTTCTTTTTTATTTTAAGATTGCTTAGTTTAAAGTAATTAGGTTTGGAAAATATGATGCGCTTTTCGTACTGATGGTTTGCTAGACTTCACCCCTGATGTGTGTCCAATTGGGTTTCTGCCACAGATAATATGGATTGTGGCTTCTCTTTTTTTTTTTTTTTTTTTTTTTTTTTTTTTTTTTTTTTTTTTTTTTTTTTTTTTTATGAAATTTCAGATGAATTCCATTAAAATTTTAGAAAATTCAAATATGACCTTAGAAGCATTAGTGATTTTGAAGCGGCCTTAACCCTATACACCCCAATTGCCAACTTTTTGAATAAGAAAAGAGGAAAAAAGAAACAAGCTTTTGTGGACTGGTTGAGTGATGCTTCGAAAGGTGACCAAGGGATGGACTTTTATGACAGTGGTTCAAGCCAACTCTAATTTGGAGGATCAGAGTCAACTTGTTGGGGTTTATAATAATGATTGGTCGTGGAAGACGAGAGGCTTAGAGATTTATTAATAAGCTAATTCCTCCTTTTATCTTTTCGAGGTATCTAATTCTCTGTTTTTGAAGTCATTATTAGTATTTCTTTTTCTTTTTTAATCCTTCCAAAATGATTTTAATGGGTTTATCTTTTACCGTTTAATTTGTTGTTGTATCTTTTCGAGGTATCTAATTCTGGTTGGATTTTCTTTTTGAACACTGGATTTTTATTCCCATGTTTAATTTCATGGTGATTGTGGAATGGTGCAGAGACAAAACGGTTAGAGATTGATTTTGATTCTCACAGTCAATCTAGAGAGGAAGATGATGATGGGTTAGGGAGCTACAACAAAACGAAACGCAAAATTACAATTTCGATTGGTACAATTATAGCAAAATGCAAAATTGGAGTATTTTTCTTTTTTTAAAGAAAGAGAAGTTTTATTGAATTAAATCAGAAACCAAACTAGCTCCAATACAATGACCAACTATATTTCAAAATTGAAAGCGAGCCTCAGCTAAAGAAACAGCCTCTCGAGCAAGAGAATGAACAGACATGTTAGCTTGCTGTTTAATATAAGCAAGCCAGAGAAACATCAGCCAATTGGCTTAACAAAAAATACAATATGAAATAATGTTATCGAACTCAGAATGGTTTAACTCCACACTATTCATAGCTTAGCATATAAGGAGAGAATCCGTCTCAATAATTATTGGCCGTAAAGTACATTTCTTTAGCCATGAAAGTGCTTCACAGAATGTGAGGGCCTCTGCCATAAGAGGATCATGAACACGAGAAATATCCTGAGATAGCTGCTACGAAATGACCTGATCTGTTGCGAACAATGAAACGAAACGCTCGATTGGTACCATTGTAACAAAATGTAAAATTTGGAATATTTTAAATGATTTATTCTTGAAAATCAAAAATTCCTGCAGCATGGAAGCTTAACTTAGTTGCAGTGCATCTTTCTATTTGGGCAAATGTCCGACTCGTCTCTTTTCCATCCTTCGAAAACACCAAAAAAGAAATTTTAAAAAATAAAAATAAAAAATAAAATTCAACCGATTAACCAGTTTATAGCAAAAAAATATAAACTTGTGAACTAATTAAATTCCTCTGAAATACAATGAATTCTCAGTGTTAACTTGCACCGTTTCAATTGTTCTTCAAGAGATATAGCCAACTCCAGTCTAGTGTTATTCTTACACGAGAAAACAAAAAATAAAATTTAAAAACAAAAGAAAAATAGATATGGAACTAGAAGTCTGGAGGATGTTTTAAATTAGGATTTGTGGAAGGATATGTGGTTTGAGACCAGATCTTTTCTTAAAGTAAGATTAATTTTCCGTTTATTTTGGACTCCTCCAAAAAATATTTTTCAATGTTTCTAATGTTGAGAAAAATCACTTGAGTAAAAATATTTTTCTAGTTAAAAGAAAAACTAAGTCATTTTAAAGGAAAATGACTTTTTGTTTTAAAATTAACAAAACTATTATAACTGATAGAAGTAAAAATGAATGAGCAGATAAATTGAATGTATTGATAGAATTTTTTCCTCCTTTTCTAATAGCATAAAGTCATATATTTTTAAGGCAATTAAAGTAACCATTGTCTCATTTCAAGTTCAAGACAAAGCTATTAAGCACTGAATGAATGAGTATATTAGGGTTTTAAATGCTTTTTTTGACCGAACGTTAGTATTAATTTGTAACGCTCAGTATAATTGTTTATATTAAATACATGTAATACCCTTTATTTATTTGTTAGTCTATCAAAAGTTTCTCGCTCCTTTATGTTTGAGCTCTTTTGTCTTTTTATAATTAGTATATTGAAAAATAAAAATTGACTACATTAATAAGGGGGGTTCTATAGCTAGAAATATAGTCATTAGGCCTTTATTACTGGATACAGTTGTTAGGCCTTTATTACCGAATATAGCCATTAGGCTTTAATAATCGAAATATAACTTAATATTTGTTTGACTGTGACTAAATTACTGATAGGTGCTGAGCCGTTTATGAATAAGTATTTGGCTAATTACTCTTCAGCCGTTTATGACACAGGTATTTTGATTTATCTCAATCTTTTGTTAAAACATGATTCTTCCTTTTCTTGGCTTTTGATTTTTATGCATACAATTTAATTGAGCTATTTAAGCTTGATAATTAGTTTTGCACCTTGAGTGAATTGCTTATACTCATTTATTTTAGTCAGAGCTTCTTAGGCTCGGGAATTGTTAGAATTCAGAGTTTTTTAAGCTTCAAATTTAATCAGAGCTTACTAGGCTCGGAATATGTTAAACTCAGATTTTTTTTTTTTTTTTTTTTTTTTTTTTTTTTAAAGCTTCGAATTTATTTATTTTACTTAGAATTCTCCGAAGCTTCTTAGACTCTGAATATATCAATCATAGAATCTGCTTTCTAAATTTCTAATTTTTTTGAGTTTTTAATCCTTAATAATTAAATCTGAACTTTTTAGGCTCGAAATAGGCTTAATTATAAATTTAGTGTCTCTAATAGGGGTGAGCATTCAGTTAATCCGAACCAATCCAAACTGAATAACTCAATCCGAATATAGCCGAATTTTATATCCATTATCCAATTCAGACCATATTTAATACAAAACAGAAAGTAATTGAACACAATAATATGTGGTTTTATTACAAAAAACCAAAACCGTCCAAATAATCGGATTAGTATTTTTAGTTGGATAATCCAAACCAATTACGAGAAAATATCTAAATCTAAAATTTTTTAATATATGTGTTCCTGACTCCAGATTTGCAGTTTGAACTCTTAAAGCATCTATACACATATGCTTATAAATTTATAGACAATTGCATAGAATAAAAAACATAAAAAATTAATAATCAATTAATCCAACAAGTCACAAGTGTCCAAACAAAAATTATAAAGGTAGTCATACCTAAATCCAGCTATCCAAATAACAATTACTATGATTAACATTAAAAGAAACATTCATTAAACTTTCAGTTACAAAATTACAGTCACTAATCAATTAAGCATGACTTTCTTTGTCATTGATCTCAAAAGTTATACCATATTGTTGTCACTTGTCACAAAAACTATACAAATAGAGTGTGGATTCTTAGTTTTATTTTAATATGGGGTAAAAAATCGCAATGTTTTGACACAAAAAAAAAAAAAATGAGATAAAAAAAATATCTTGATTACTAATCTAGTTAATGTGGATTAACCAAGGTTTTTTTCACACTAACCGCACCATAACCGAAAAACAAAATTAATATTTATAACTAACCAATTCAAACCAAAATTAATCTATTGGCAGTCGAACCAAACCAATATCACTCGGTCCGGTTTGAATTTTCAATTATATCTCCAATTTGCTCACCCTTTGTCTCTAACTTCCTAAAATTTTCTATTTTTGTGTCTTAACAGAAAACATTTGTAATCAAGGTGTCTGAACCCATTAAAATTTTTCAATCAAATATCACCTGCTTACGTGACAGGCCGAAATTACAAATAGTAAATTTCATATTGTGTCCACTAAGATTGACATGTCATCAATGGACACATCAATATTTTTAACATTTAGGCAACCTTTCCATTGTGGCACAATAATATATCTCTTATTTGTAATTCTGGCATGTCATGTAAGCGGGCAACACTTGATTGAAAAAATTTAATGAGTTCAGATACTTAATTGCAAATGTTTTTCATTGAGACACAAAATAGAAAATTTTAGAAAATTAAGATACTAACTTTATAATTAACCCGCTCGAAATATTATGAGCTTGAAACTTTCTCTCTGAGTTCTTTTTGAGCTCAATAGTTTAATTCTGAGCTTCTTAGGCTCATAATATTTTGAGCTCGGGATTTTCTTTCTGAATTTCTAACTTTGGACTTCTTAGGCTCAGAATATTATGAATTCGGGATTTTCCTTCTGAATTTCTAATTTTAAGTTTCTTAAGTCTCAATAGTTTAATTCTGAACTTCTTATGCCTAGAATCTTATGAGCTCAGAATTTTCTTTCTTAATTTCTAACCTTAAAACTTCTTAAGCCTCAATAGTTAATTCTGAACTTCTTAGACTCAGAATATTATGAACTTGAGATTTTCTTTCTGAATTTTAACTAAGCTTCTCAAGCCTCAACAGTTTATTTTGAACTTCTTAGGCTCGGAATATTAAGGTGAATGCACTTAGACTCTTTTTAAATGATGAAAGCCAAGATTTGTTGAATAATGAGCGTTAGGGCTCAGAGCTGTTTAAGCTTAATAAATGATGAGCACTCAAGCTCAGAACTGCTTAAGCTCGATCACTGATGAACTATTTCAACATGAAACTTGGCCTCTTCAAGGCTTAGTATGGCAAATTATTTTACTTGGTTTTTTTTTTTTTTTTTTTTTACTTTTTATTTGGCTTAGCGCCATTTTACCCTTTTTGGGCTCAGTTATGCATCATCAATTTCATTATTTAAATCCATATTAAACACGTATAAGTTGTTGGAGATGATGGAATAAAATATATATGGTTCTCTAACAATGAGTTACTGAATGGTTCTCTAATAAATGATATAGTTATATAACTCAAATAAATAAATACGTATTTCACAAATAATATAATTATTATAAGACAATCTAGACAATAGTGAAGAATAAATTTTTAATTAGAGAATAATCAATATTTCATGCCAAATTAAATGTAGCTCATCTAGTAAAGGATGAATATGTGGACAAATTATTAAAATATATATTGAGAGAAAGCTTATCATTTTCCTTTCTCTAGATTAGGCATGACCATCGATTCATTTTGAACCAGAACCAAAAACCAAAATTAAACCATACTGTAGATCAACCAGAATCGGACCGGAACTGTTGGTTCAAAGTTTTGAACCAGAAACGGCAATTCAAGGTCGGTTAAGATTTATGTGAATGTTAAAATCTGAACCTGAACCGGCGGTTAACCGACGATTTTCTAGTTTTATTTTCAAAATAATAATCACTTAGTCTATTTTATACATCCTTAAAAGTCTTAATAATTTTTTCTACATGATATACTTTACTTAAGATTTTTTTTAAGATTTTTTTTTTTTTTTTAAATATGCTTTACTTTAAAAGTTAAAAATCTAGAAGCAAAATGGTCAAAAAGAGCGAGATATTTAGTCTAACTTATATGTTTTTAACTTTTTTTTTACCGCTTTTAAAATCTAAGTTTAAAATTACATTTTTTTGAAGCATTTTTCAAAATTTTCTTATAATTTATTTAATTAGTAACATTTAAACAAAATAAAGTGATAATTTATTTAATTATTTCGTAAAATTAATTAATTTTATTCTTAAATGAGTATGAACGTTCTAAAATTTATTTAAAATAAAATTTACCAATATTTTTAAACTCATATTAATATTTTCAAAAGAAAGATGTACTTTTAGAACCAATTTTTTTTTTTTAAAAAAAAAAAAACATATATCGCCGAAAACCGTGACCGGAACCGGCGGTTCAAAGGCCAGTTCAGGTTCAACATTTTAAAAATTTTGAACCGTTAGTTCCGGTTCAATGAACCAGCCATGCCTGCTCTGGATGCCACAATCTCTTAATATGATTTTAACTATTGTCATACCATATATAGCTTCACCAAGAAATGAAGAAAATCTTGCTCCTCTTTTTTCTCAGCATTTCAAGGTATGTGCTTTTGATGTGTTCTATAAAGCCTATACCAAACGAATTATTCCCCTACGAAAGAAAATGACCATTAATACATGCATCAATCAACTTTCTTTTTCCGCTTTATTTTTCTTAGGCTTCCACTTGTCAACAATGAGAATGCGACAAATAGTTATTAGCATAAAGTCATATATGGTGTTGGTGTTTGAAAAGATAAAATATCATGTAAAAATTACTAATTATATGGAAACTCACAAACATACTTGCTCGTAAACTCGACCATGAGTTTTCCAAGATGAAGGATTATTTTCATAAAATAATGAATATATTTACTGAAATTAAATTAAGTTTAAACCTCCAATTGCAATTCTTTCATTGTATATATAAAATTATATGAGAAATAATTACGTCCAAGGAGATATTTCCATATGAACCAGCCAAACTGTAGCTATACAGTTTATTATCCACTTAATATCTACAGATGAGAGTAGACGACGATTTGCAGCACCAACTTCTTTACTCTCATCTAGTTATACTATATCACCCACTTCAAATATCTAGGGCCTATTTCAAACATGAAAGTACCCACAAATGCACATTATCATTATGAAAAGAAAAGAAAAGAAAGGAGAACACTATCCTAATTCGCAGATCTATCATTTAATTTTACATTAAAAAGAATGACACTAAGGGCGCATATGCAGAAAGCATATGTGCACACAAACACATATATGACCAGTCAACTAGTCTAACTCACACTCCCAACCTTCCTCCTGCAGAATAGGTGGCTCTAAGCATTACTCTAGACCATCAGAAACATAATTCATCAATGTTAAGCATACACAGTATGAAAAGAATTACATGGACACGTTTTGTTTGCCTATGTGGAAAAGCATTATGCAATTTCATGAAATAACAAACTCAATCCGAGTATCTGAAATAAATACCTTTGTTGGCTTTGGGTGGTCTTTATTATGTCCTACTATTTTCAAAGCTCCAGGCATGAGGCTGCTTCGGACAACCTAAGCAAAGGAAGGCACAGCCAGATTTTAATTAGTAAAAATCAAATCTGTGTCAAACGAGGGAGATTTACCCATGCCATGTTCAGCTTTTTACATCATAAAATTCAAAAACAAAGGTTTCAAATGCAGCTGGTTTCTGGTTAGGAACATGTGACTATTATGTAGAAGTAACTACAAATATCTAATATCTCCTCCATACTGAATATGTCTTTCAAAAACACAAAACATTTAAAAGAAGACTTCACATAACGAGCTCTATCATTAAGGGTGACCTAGTGCACGAAGCATCCATATTACTGGGCTCTGGGGAAGGATTTATATATATATATATATATATTCAAATGATATTAACCATACTCAGCTATCAAGTCAGGGAGACGTTGCTTAATCATACAAGCCTGCTTATGGTAATAGGACAGTGCAGATACCATTAGATCATATCTTGTCAACCTCAGTGTTTTTGCTGCTTATGCACCAAAAACTATCCCCGGCAATAAAAAGGGAAATACAAACCTCAAAATCAGAGGACCGAGGATTTCCAACAATCACTGCAGTTGGTCCATGATCTTTTCGATTTAACATGGAAAAATTCTCCCGGTAAGGGCATAAAATCCATGTCAAAACCTCTGTCAATCCGTTCATTGCAACTTAGTAAAAGCAAATTCATAATCCCAATGATTATTTTAAATTTCAGTTTGTTTAAATTTCAGTTTGTAAAATATACAAAAGGAAGATGTCTAAACAAACGTTAATACATACAAAAATAACTCAATTGAGACCATATAAAGAAAGCAAGCTACATGCTTAAATATGACCACGAAGTGCAAAACTATACAGGCATACGTTAATACATACAAAAATAACTCAATTGAGACCATATAAAGAAAGCAAGCTACATGCTTAAATATGACCACGAAGTGCAAAACTATACAGGCATACAAACCCCGTATAATAGAATATTTCCCACGAACCAAACAGGAACCTAGATTCCTGTGAACTGCTAAAGCAACCTCAACAGACTTAGTTTTATCTTTCTTTCTTTCCATCCTTTTCTCTAGGTTGACAACATCATCATTACACCTCAACAGTGCATTTATTCATCTCTATTGTACATGACTAAACCATTTCAGATGACTTTCCCTCAAGAGAAATTTCCATATCAGGTTCATCAGACAACTCCAATTCAATGACTACTCTACTCAGATTCTATCCAAACACATTTTTTAAAGAAAGGTTTGCTTGGAACACACCATCAGCAAGCCTTTTGTGTCTACTTCCAGAAAATAGTTAATAAATGGTAATTTCCATCTGAAACATCAGATTTGATGACTGATTTAAAGTTAAAGCTCAAGCATGCACACATACATTAGCTAACTAAAGTAGCAAGAAGTGCAGGAATGCAAGGAATTTCTGATGCAGGAGCATCCAAGACTAGTTCAGAAATTTTCTTTTAGTTTCCTTCTTTATATAGAATTCTTAATCAAATTAAAGAATGTTAATTAATTAGGAATAATTTTTCAGTTTTAATTAGGATTTAGCTAAATAGGAATACTATCAGTCTAGAACTCTAAACTAATTAGGAATACTTTTCAGCATAGAATTAGGATTTGTCCCAACTGATATAAATAGGACAGCAACAACTAGTTTTAGGGATTGTTTTTTATCTATGAATTCAGAATTTTAATTCTAAGGGTTTCTTTGAAACTGAAATGTCATGTTCCAACCAAAATCATCCTATTCTAGCCCTAATTGTTGAGAGTTAATTTGCCGTATATTCTACCTCCTCTGCCTTCAAAGAGACTCCAATTGCACCAGTAATATATGACAATAGAACTTGCATATTATAGACCGACAAGTCGGGGTAGATATATGACTTCCCATCAGAATATATCACTTCAACTGGTTCCACTTCAAATTTTCTCTTGCAATATTCTGAAAAAGTTGTTACCTAAGAAATCGAAAGGAAACCATTTACCAAAAAACCGCAAAGCTACTCTGATTGTTTAAGTTCTAACTTTGTCAGATCAGTAGCTGTACATTCAATGAAAACATTCTTCGTATTCAAAGTGATAGCTGAACGTGCACTGTTAATAATTGGGGGTAGAGTCAAAATAGTTCTGCAAAAAAATTTAAATTATTTCAAAAAATTCGGAGCTTGTTTAACCAGAAATTTAATTGTTGTGGTCCATGTGCATCAACAAAACATTACATATTCATTAATGTTATATGAATAGAGAACATAATAACAAATTGTTGACGCACCATTATGCATCTTATTAAGAGAAACAGTAATCAAAGAGATATGCATCTTATTAAGAGAAACAGTAATCAAAGAGATATCTGGGTTCACTGCTTTTTTTTTTTTTTTTTTTTTTTTTTTTTTTTTTTTTTTTTTTTTTTTCGCCAGGGAAAAGAAGTGCATATGCAACTGATCAACCCCTTAGTCCTAGCAAAAATATCCATGGAAAGGAAAATGAAATCAAGCATCTTTAAAGCAAACAGAAGCATAGAACTCTAAATCAAATTCTGAATAAGACATCATGATATTTAGAGAAGAATATCAGTCGCAAAGAATCATTGAATTAGTCAGGGAATTTTAGAAGTTTCATAATTACAAAGATTTCTCGAAGAAACTGAGTTCATACCTGTTCATAATTACAAAGATTTCTCGAAGAAACTGAGTTCATACCTGTTACTGTCATATATGACAGGGAACACTGGTGAATTCTCGATTAGGTGCAAAAACAACAGCTGCATTGTGATCCTGCATTCACCAAACCACCATAGTCGGAAAAATATTTCAAAACACCAACATAATAAAAGAAAATTCCTGTGCAAAAAGCAAGCACAGGAATACCAATATTGCAATATTTTTACAGAGCAAAAAAATGTAAATCAAATGTTAGTATTTGACAAAAGCATTGGGTAGACAGTAAACAGCTGATTTCTTCATGTTAGCTCACCCGATAAAACTCCATCAGCTCATCGGCTCTGTAGCTTTTGACCTAAACAACCAGAACCAAATATAAGAAACCAAAATTAGTTTAGTCAAACACATCTCTCACAACGATAGATGTCATTCACAAAGCAAATGAAAAGGAGAAGCATTAGGCAAGTGCGGATTGGAAAAAGAAGTTTCAATTTGAGAAGTAACAACAGTGAAATCAAAGCTAAGGAGCTATTCACATAGTTCAAAACAAACTACATCCTGACAAGACCAAGTCTCGGTCACCTTGTTAAGCACAAAAAGAGAATTTTTAATCAAAATAATTTACATATAAGCTCAAATGAATAGCCTACCTGTTTCAGCGGAACAAAATTTATTCCTTGAGGAGGCAAAGCCTGAAAGCAAGTGGATAAATAGGGTAACAATATAGTTGCTTTTCTATTCTCATATGAACATTATTTATATTAAGCAAATAAGGGCATGGAAATCATTCAAAGAGAACATAAATCATGCCGAAACTGCCTGTGGATAAGATGCACAAATGACTTAAACACTTGATAACATATTTTATCTACAGAATGAACAAAACAAAATGCCTCAAGTATTTGCAATAATTATTAAATGCTGTTCTCAATATATAATTGAAAAAAGTAGAAACTTCAGCTAAAGGAATTGTTTTCATCACAGGGAGGAATCAAGGGGCGGAGCTAGGAATTAAATACAAGGGGGGCAAAAACTTTAACATAAATATGAAAGGCAGGAAAGTGATTAATATGCTTTTTTTTTTTTCTTTTTTCTTGATAACCAGGGTTCGAATCCAACCAATGTGAAACATTTTTTATTTATTTTTAAAAAAGAGGGAAGGGGGCAGTTGCCCCCCTTCTAATGAAGGTAGCTCTGCCAGTGGGAGGAATAATCTAAAGCATAACCATTTTACTATTGTCCTCCTAGCCCAACATCATATTATCTTAAAATAAATTAACTGCATGAGAAGATCACATGACAGAGATATAAGAGTTGCAAAAGTTCACCTCATAGTGAAAAGACCTCGTAATATATCTAAGTCATGAGTCCCAATAGCAACTAATGTTCTCCGCATGAAACATGAATGTGATGTCAACATCAAAAGGGGGAAAAACTACAAGAATACTTGAGGACCCTTCAAGCAACAGCATAACAACATAACTGCCAGAGTATTACCTGCAAATATTTTGATGAAGCTTGTCTTGGAGATCAATGAAGCTGTTGTACCTCGCTACATTAAATGTAATATCTGTCAAAACTGCACAAACGACATAGGGATGAATAGATGATGTCTACAGAAAAACAAGTTTCCCACAGCTGATGAAATAAATTGTGCTGACCAATTATCAATAAATGTTGTACATCTATAGAGCTTAAACAAATACCTCTGGTTTCACAAGCATCTTAAGCATTTATTCCTTCTTTTTCGCTAAGGCATAAGTTGGCATCTCATCCTGCTTCTCGAAAATACAGAGGGCTTGAGCTAGCCCCTCGGCTATCAAAACTCTTTTCTAACTATTATATCTTCATTAATACAAACAATTCAGTGTGGAGATTGTTCCTCCTGTTCACCCATTAAAGAATTATTTTCAAGTTTTAGCACAATAAAGCAACTTCCAATTAATCTGCTAATAAGTCATTTAATGGAAGTTCCATTTATCGCTTTATTGTGAAAGATCAACCTAAATATCAATCCTTAAGCAAGCTAGCAGTATTTAACTCTAAAAAGCAAGTAGGCCAAAATTACACTATTTTGAAAGATACAGTTACAAAATTTCATAGTACATTAAAATAATTAAAACTAAAAAAAAAAAAAAAAAAAAAGGATTAGTACATTAAAATAATTAAAACTAAAAAAAAAAAAAAAAAAAAAAAAAAAAAAAAAAAAAAAGGATAAAATTTACTAAGTGTATACATCTGTACTAATAATAATTTCCATTTAAAGGCATGTTTCCATGGCGACACATGAACAAAGAAGGTTGAGGAAGTTCTAAGCATGCCATTTTAGCTTAAACGACCCATGTTAAATAAGAATATATAGATGAGGGTATAATCTTTAAAGCATAGTAATTAAAGGCACAAGGCACACTAAGGCACAAAGGACTATTAGAGCCTAGGCGCTCGCCTCTAGGAGAAGGTGCGAAAATTTAAATAGAAAAATAGAACACATAAATCTGAAAATTATATTGGAAAAAGAATTAGAAAAACATGGGAAAAGAACAGATAAATCAAGGGGAAAAAAGGCAACATAACAACATATATTTTATTTATTTTGCTACCATACCAAGTTTTCCCTCTAAAAACAGTTTTCCAAGAAATTCTACCTTGCTTCAAAGCCAAAACCTTTCAACTAAGCTTATGCAACATTTGTAAGCCATTGTAATCGAAGCAAACCGAGACCAATCGAAAATTTTGAATAAAAGGAGTTGGGCATTTACCTTACCAATAATCTCCACAAGAACAAACTCCATCCTTAAAATGATGAAAACGATTTGCATCCCTGACAATTATCACCCTGTTTACAAGCTTTGAAATAAGCTTGGTTGCTGCATGACAATTCACACATGCCCGAAGGTTCTTTGTTATCCTAAGTGTAGTTCCTGGAGGAGTGCTGATAAGGCCATAAGCAATTGCGAGCCTCTCACTATGATTACAAAGTGTCTCCTCAATTTCTTCATCATTTAAATCATGCAAGACCGATTCTGTATGAGGGAAAAAACCTGCTTCCTTTAACCTTCTCTCTAGATTCGCAAGCTCCTCAAAAATCTCATTGGACCTTGGATGTGATTTGTCTCCAAATCGAAATGCCTGAAGCTTTCCATTTATCTCAATCACACTCTGGCCCATGTCCTTACTCAATCCTTTCTCCCTCATTAGCACCCGTACTTTTGCAACAAAATCCCATAGTCGAGCTGAAGCATAAAGATTTGACAGCTGAACATAATGCCCAGTATTATATGGATCTAATAAGAATAGCTGCTCAGCAGCATACTCTCCAAGGGTGACATGGCGATGGATCTTGCACGCACTCAGAAGAGCTCCCCATACACTTACACCTGGTTCAATTGGCATGTTCCTGATAAACTTATAAGCTCGTTCTAGATACCCTCTGCGACCAAGAAGATCAACCACACAGGCATAATGCTGGTGACGTGGTTCAATCCCATACTGATTCATTTGGCAAAAAAGTTGCCATCCTTCTTCTACAAGACCTGAATTTTTGCATGCAGTAAGGAGCCCAATGAAGGTAACATCATTGGGCTGCACCCCAGCCCACCTCATTGCATCAAAAAGATTAATGGATTCTTGGCCATGACCATGCAATGCATACCCCATAATCATTGCGCTCCACAAAACCACATCTTTATCCACTGCTCTGTTGAAAACAATTCGTGCCGAATCAACACTACCGCATTTTGCAAACATATCAATAAGGGCAGAGTTAACAAAAGCATCATTTCTAAATTCAGTCATACTAATATAATCACTCATCCATCTTGCTAATTCAAGAGAACCTATTTCTGCACATGCCAAGATGCCAGATGTCACAGTAATAGAATCTGGCCTCAAGTTTTTAGTTATCATTTGACGAAAGAGCTCCAGAGCTTCATCAGCATGCCCATTCTTTGCATAACCAGAAATCATTGCATTCCACAAGATCAAATTTGGGATTTTTACCCGATCAAAAAACAACCTAGCAATCCCAACTTGCCCACATTTGGCATACATGGCAGTAAGTGAAATAAGCAAATCGGTCTCAAATTCAAGGCCCATTTTAATAACACAAGCATGAACTGATCTGCCATGTTTCAGGTCTTCTACATCAGTATATGCCTTAAGAACACTGACAAGAGCAATCCAATCAGGTTTCATATTCATTTTCCTCATTTGATTGAAAATTTTCAATGCTTCAATCGGCTGCCCATTCTGAATATGCCCAGAAATTATGGAAGTCCAAGAAACAACTGTTCTATCGCTTAACCTATCAAAAACGACATTAGCCAGTCCAATACGACCACATTTTGCATAAAATGCCACAAGCCCGTTCTGCACGAACACATCAGTTTCAAACCCATGCCTAAAAACCTGCCCGTGTACCTGCCGGCCTATATCAAACGCAAACAGCGCACTGCAAGCTTTGAGAACAAGAGTGAAAGTGAAACCATCAGGACTAACACATGTCATTAGCATTCTTTGATACATGGCAATAGCATCATCAAACAAATTGTGCCTCGAATAACATCTAATAATCGCATTCCACAAAAACACACTTGGGTCAGGAAAACAATCGAACACATTGCGTGCATAACTAATTTCACCTAAATTAGAACTACAATTAACGAATTTAGCAATTAGAAAGCCATTATACTGCAATTGAGAGACTAGCAACTGTGCATGGATTTGATATAAGTTGCTTTTGTCGACCGAATTATCAGTGAGAGATGCATAAAACGTTTCACGGTCGAAGCCACCGTCGAAATGGCCACTGTTGTGTAAATGAAGAGCCAAAGAAAAATTGGTTTTGAGACATTTGAATAAAGTTGCGGGAAATGCTTTTCCGGCAAAGGAAAATTTCAGAGCCATGTATATTTGTTTCTGTCATTGGCCGAGGAAGTAACTATCAAGGAGAGAGAATTTTCTTTTGTCTAGCTGTTCCACTTGATATAGACAGGTGCTGGATGATTTTTTTGTTTTTATTAAGTTTTTTGTTTTTTTTTCTTAAAAAATAAATAAAACTTGTTTATTTAAACTTTTTTTTTTTCTTTCTCATTTAGAAAACTGTTTCTAAAATAAAAAATAAATTTTATGAAACCACCGTTTATGCAATTGTGTTTTTTATTTTTAATTTTACATTCCTTTGTTTATTATTTTTTATAAGATTTATCCTTATAAAGTTATTATTATTATTATTATTATTAATTATTATATTATTATTTTCATCTGTCATATACAAATCTATGCATTGTATTTATGAAAAAAAAAAAAAACAAGCAGGATAGTTTTATTTCTATAAAATTATATGCTTTTTTCTATCTCGTTCTCTATGGTAGATTATTTTTACATTTGATTATTATTTTCTAATGTCTTTTGGTATTATTGTATTATTATCTTTTGGTATTATTTATTTATTACAATACTTAGATATTATATTGTTATTCAATTGATTGTATACATGATAATCTATAGTTATTGTAACTTTGAAATTTAAAAATTAAATTGCAAAATATTTTTAATTATTTTGTCTCAAAATTTGAATTTTTAGAATTTTTATTATTATTAAAATCTTTAACGGGCCAAATTTGATAATTGGAAGAATTTTTCATATTATGAACCAAAACAAAAGAAAAAATAATTTAAAAAAAAACAGTTTTGAAAAGATAAGTAACAAAAAAAATAAACTATAATAAACAATGCCTTAATAATTCATTAACAGTGAATATAAGTTGAGTACATTATAATATTACCGTAGGAATAAGAAATACAGATATAGAAAATTGAAATCTTCGGAGATGTTCTTGATCTTGGAAAAAGAAGTTAATATTCTATGTAAAAACTGGTCCATTTTCAATAAGGACGATAAAAAAACCCTTCCACAATATTGTCCCGAATATTATTTGTTTGGAAATTTGTTATAATTGACACACACAAAAGAGTTTAATATAACAAACTTTAATAGAGGAACATGCCTCACTACTAAACTTCATTGATAAAAGAAACTGACCCAAACTTGTTGAAGATTTGAATTCTCCAACCACAAGTAACCAACGATCCATCTTGTATTTTGACTACTAGAGAAATAAAAGAACCAAATAAAAACTCCTTAATAACGATGAACAACTACATGAAATGAGAGAAATTAATAACCCAACAAAATGGTACCAAAGACACTCAATCTGAAAAGACTAAATCCAAATTTTATTCCAAACGATTATAGGTTTCGAAATTATTATAAAGAAAACTAAATAAAATAAAGAAAAATGATAATGAGGGACGAAAAAAAACCATCGCCATGGTCGATGGTAGTTTAGAAATAAAATCTAGAAGAACACAAAACAGATAAAACAGAGTGAGAGAGAGAGACGACAACTAGGGTTTATTCTTTTATGAAGATAGATGGTGGATGATTTTGATAATAGTTGTTGTTGTCAAAATTTTTTATATATTAAGAGGTATGACTTATATACTTTAAAATTTCTTAGGTAAAACATTATTTTTATTTTAATTTATTATTTAAAAGATATTAATTTAAATGTTTTTAAAATAATATTTAATTGAAATTTATTATTTTCAAATAATTGTAAATAAAATGATCATAAAAATGAAAAAAAATATAATGTTATTATTAATTATTTTATAAAGTTAATAAGTTCAACTATAATTTAAATATAAATAAGTTATCAACTGATAAAAAAAAAGTCCAAAAACATAATGGATGACTTAGCATTTCTATCAATTATGAGCTGCTAATTAAAATATTTACCAAACAACTTTAATCTAAATTGGATACAAATTAAGTGTTTGATGCATGAACTTGTTGAAACAAAGGTCCTCTTATTGTGCACCTATATGCCTATATCTAGATTTACCTTTCTCTAATATTGAAAAAACAAAAAAGTCCAACTGTTTCTCGCCCTTTAGCCAAAATCACTAAAAAAATTTAAACTTTTGCTGGATTTGTTGAAAACTTATATAATTAATTTTAATTATATTTAAGGTAAATTTAATCAAATTTGCTGTCTTTAAATAAAGTGAAATTATAAATTGAAAATTTATTATCTCGTCCATCTATATATTGAAATACAACAAGTCAGTTCTTGCATTTCTAGAGATACTTTTTGTAATCTTTATGTTTTAATTATGTCCTAAAATTCAGTCCTTTCATCCAATTTTAACCAATTTGATCGTTAAGTCATTGCAAAATGACTTAAATAACAAAATTCATAAGAGAAAAGTCTGCCTTCTCGCTCCTTGCAATCAGTTCTTCTCCACCATTGTATTGTTCCAGTAAACAAAATTAATTAGTCATTTTTGCTTATTCAAACGCGCACAATTCCTACAGAGGATAAAAAGAAACAAACGATAGCCTAATGACTACAATTCCTGCTCCCTTAAACACTTCCTTTTTTTACTCCAAAACTATGTAAGAAAACATTCCACTCTCTATCTCACTAAGTCCATCTTCAACCTCTCTTTCCCTTTTAACTCATTCTTTGCCTCCTCTGATTCGGTTTAAAGGGAAGTGTTTTAGAAGCTCCACAACCACCAATGCTTCCTTGAAGGTTCTTTCGTTTTGTCTATCATGTGTTTGATGAAATGCTCATGCAGATAGAATTAATCAAATTTGAGTGCTTTTGTACTTTTAGGAGAATTAGGTGATTTGATAAAAAAAAAAAAAAAAAAAAAAAAAAAAATTTGGTAGAGATATTAAGTGATTGATAAAAAATAAAAAAAAAAAAAAAAAAAAGAAGTGAAAAAAAAAAAAAAAAAAAAAAAAAAAAAGGTAAGTGATTTTACTAGTTTAAACAACTGGGTTGTAAGGGACAAAAAGCTAACTGACTATTCTAATTGGATGTTATAATTGGATGTTAATTTTGTTAATGCAATGTAATTGTTGTTTTGTGTTGATGAAAGTAGATATTTCATTACGAAATAGGAAATTACTATTTCGTCCCTGAGTTTTGACGAAATTAACAACTTCGTCCATTATTTTGGTAAAATTATTATGTTGTCCCTGAGGTTTGATTCCGTGAGACTATACAGTCCTTTCGTCCAAAAATTAGCACTTTTCCATTAATTTTATATAAAAAAGACTAAAACATCTATACTGTGAGACCCACAAAATATTTTTTTAAAAAAAATCATTTCTCTTTCTCCCCATTTCTCTCTCCTCCTCCCTCCCTCTTTCTCCCCTTCATTTCTGAACAATAGAATATTACAAATCTGAAGAATGTATAATTGTAACCCAAGCAAAAGAAACTTTTGTTTTATCAGTAATTTCTAAATGCCTCCATACCCACCTTATTGGAGCCTATTTAGTTGGACAATACGGTATTTATACATATCCGTTGTAGTTACTGCAAAGAGGAGGTGTTGGTGGTGGTCAAGATTGTTGTGCCAATGGTGGTTCTGGCTGGTGGTTTTGGCTTTCCCTACCTTGATTTTAATTCGTTAGTTCATAGGATATAATACATGTGGAAGTCTCTTAAGCTTCTTTGGGTATGGGTATGGGTTGACTGTGGTGGAAAAGGCGTCGACGTTGTTAAGTGAGGCGATGAGATTTCGTTTTGCCTTCATTTTGGAGAATTAGAAGAATTGATAACGAAGACCGATCAAACAAAGAAATTGTTAAGCTTTTAGGGTTTGAGGTGTAGTAAATTGTGAATTAACCCATCCTTGGGGTAAATTTGGAGTATATATACTGGATTTAGGATACTTGTGTTAAGATAAGGATTACGAATCCTACATTATATATTAGTTAGAGTTTATTCAGGAGTCTCGTATTATTATTTTAATATATTTTGTTATTATATGTTAACAGTAGTCCCCCATTAGTTATTTGGTCATTTTATGTCCAAATGTAGTGTTTATGCATTTTTAGTGTCTATCTATTTCACTAGATATTTGTTTTTTTTTTTTTTTTTCTGCAAGCTTTTGATGTGTTGTTTGTTGTGAAGGTTGTCATTTTATGGCAGCTTTATTTTGCTAAGAAAGAGGCGTTGGTTTGGGAGGGTACTTGAAGAGTTGCCGTATTAAATGAGGTGACTCTTCAGTTGCCTCGCCTAGCCTATATAAGGCCACTTCCTTACTTCATTTGCTTCACTTCTTAGAAATTGATCCTCAAAGCATCTCTCTCTAGACTGTTTCTCTCTCTGACTTCTTCCAAGTAAGTTTAATCTACTCCTTTCCTCCTTTTTCCATTTTGTTGGTTAGGGTCATGGGTTCCTCTGGTGATGAGGATGTCCATATGTTACATGATCAGTTCGGTGACGAGCATACTAGGGACATGTACTTGGGGGTGGGCGAAGCCAAGGGTAGGAAGGAGAATATCAGAATCATTGACGTACCGTCTGATATTGATGAGGGCGAGTTACTGAATGTATGTTTTACATATAACCTTTCACCAGAATGCAAACTGATCTGGCCTTTAAAGGGCATGAGGGTAACCGAGCTGTTAGACGAAGATTCTATTATGATGTATGAAGAAAGCTTTCAATCTATGGTTTGCTTTCCTTTATCTGAATCATTGAAATCATTTTCAATGAGTACAACATTACTATTAGCCAACTACACCCTAATGGCTTGAGGCTCTTGTGTGGCCTAATAGAGCTAGCTCACCAAGATGGGTACAATGTGATGGCTAGGGCAGTTCAGGGACTTTATCATTTCTCCGTTCGCCTAATGAAGGACCACTGCTTCCTTCAAGCGAAGAACAATTGCAATGTTTTTTCAAATAAATCTAAGTTTTCCTCTTTAAAATTGGAAATCTAAGTATTTCATTGTCAAATACCCTGGGGGGTTCAGAGTGTAGAACCGTTGGTCTAAGGATCCGCTTCGCCAACTTCCTGCTTTGCCCACTCCCTATGATTGAACCTGTGTGGAGTGAATAAAGGCTAGGGGACTTGGTTCTGTTAATTTGAGGCAGGTGATATCCAAGGGTTATCCGACCTATTCCCCTAATGGACCCATGAGACCTAACCCTTCCTTCTCTAGTAAGCTTGATTGTAATTTTTTTTAACATTTAATAGATCTTTTTTTTAATTGTTTCATATTTTTAGTTTAAAAATTTATTATACTTTGATTTTAATTTGATTTTAATATTACATATATTATTATGATAATAAATGACAAATATTTAATTATAACTCAATTGAAAATTTAATCTATCAAATAATTATATTTTCTTTTGGCTACTATCAATGATTTTTTTGCTTTTAGTTTTTAATAATTCATTCAAGACTCTCTACTATTAGGAGTTTCTTTGCTATTGCTATATCGAAAACTTCTTACTTTATTATTATTAATGGCTGAGGTACTAATTTTAACTTTTGATTTTTTTTTGGTATACTATTACAAAAAAAAAAAAAAATTGAATTTGATTGTCAATAATTTATATATCTATTTATTTTTATATATGGCGAGACCTTGAATCAAATGGTTATTTATTTCAACTTTGTAACTGTCATGGCTTTGACAGGGCTAAATATTGTCCGTTTTGGGCCCTTCCGTACGGTTGGCCCTTCCGTACGAGGTCACCCTCACGGTTTTTGTTCTTGTGGTAAGTATTGTCCGCTTTGGGCCCTTCCGTATGAGGTCACCCTCACGGTTTTGTCCCCTTGGGTGCTGACTTCCTCAGCTCCCCAAAAGGCGCCTACCATGTTCTAAGACCACCGCACTTATGTACATCACTTCCCCCTCGCACTTAACCGATGTGGGATTCGCCTAAGGTGAGTGCACTGCGCACACAGCCCACAGCCACCGCTCACCCCCCCTTTAGGGACTCAGCGTCCTCGCTGAGGTTTGCCCCACCACCGGCCAGAGGAACGAGGCTTTGGCTCTGATACCAATTGTCATGGCCCAGCCCATGGTAAGTATTGTCCGCTTTAGGCCCTTCCGTACGAGGTCACCCTCACGGTAACCCCATCACGGTTTTGTTCTTGGGGAAATGGCTGGAGAGTTTTGGAAGAACTCCAGGGTTAAGCGTGCTCGCTTAACGGAAATCCTAAGGATGGGGTGACCTTCTGGGAAGTTTCCCATTTCCCCCAAGAACAAAACGTGAGGGGTGATCTCGTACGGAAAGGGCCAAAGCGGACAATATTCGCATTTCCCCCAAGAACAAAACCGTGAGGGTGACCTCGTACGGAAGGGCCCAAAGCGGACAATATTCAGCCATGTCAAGGGCCATGACAGTAACTATTCCATTTTGTCAAAAAAAACTATTGTATAAAATTATTAAAATTTTTCATCAAATACTAGATATGTATGATAGTGGTTTGCACATATTTTTATACATGTACTAATTATAAGTAAAAGTATTGAATTTTTATATTGTCTTTGTAAAAATTAATAAAAAATATAGAAAAAGTAAATTATAAATAATCATTTTAACAGGTATGTTCAACGAGTAACAACGTGCATCACACGTTCTTGAACACGAGTTACTATTAAGTAAAGCAAGCTTCTCCATTGCAGCTGTTTTTTTAGTCTGTGAGTTTGATGTGTTAAAAAAAAAAAAAAAACATTGTCCATCACGCTATCTCACACTCTCTATCTCCAGAGTCTATTAGACAGCGGGACGACTCAGATATTCATTCTTTTTTTTCCTATTTATTCATTTTTTTTCTTTTCTTTTTTTATTTTTACGTCTTCTCTTTATTCGCACTCAAACTTCTTGCCGCACTAAAACTGATTTCTTCTTCGCGCGCAAACGAAAAATATGGAGTTGTTCTTCGTGTTCAATCGAAAAAATATAGAATTATGGTTGGTTCTATCTAACGAATTATCAACACTGGAGGTGCCAAGTACGAAATAAAGTGCAAAAGAAAAGCTCTAGCAATTGGATCAAGGTAATATTTTTTCTTCATTTTAATTCTTTATCAGTCTTTTGTTTTAATTTGATTATCATTGTATGATCAGTATTCGTAATCAAATAGCTTTAGAATTAACCTAAAAAATTAATGCAAAACTAGCTCTCAACTGTCTTTATAGTTCCTACATTTTTTTTGCCACTTCTTAAAAACTCGTCTAAAAATCCATATCTCTCTCCTCTTCTACCCCTCCTATTGTCCCGGTGATTTAAACAAATAACTAGAAACACAAAAACGAAATTCCAGCATTGTTTCTCCTGGCTTGTTAAAAAACTTATCTTTTTATCTTGCTTTGGGCTATATTTCATATTGTTCAGTTTCTGCCGAACATGGTTTCATATAAAATATATGAAAGTTAACATTGCAAAATTATTGTTATTCTTTGTTTGTATTTGGTTGAGTTGATTGTCGTTTGTTACGCAGCTCTGCAATAGTTTGTTTTTAGTTTACTATATTTTTATATTTTTAATTTTAATTACATATAATTTTGAAAAATAAAATCCACATCATCAGAAAGTTTTTAAATAATCAGGAAGGATCGGAGAGCTATTTTTAAAAAAATCTAACGTTTACAAATATACATTCAGCCATGTCATTATCTAGAGCTTATATTTATTAAGACATATCGGCCACAATCTATGGTTGCATTGGAGATGCTCTTAGAAAATATTGGCTAGAAATTATTGAAGTTTGTTCTTAAGATGAAGTTTACATTATCATATTAGCTTTAAACGGCTAAACTGCGAAACAACACTCTTAAACTGTTTCTTTCCAACATCCATGTAGTTTCAATCTAAGGCTCTGTTTAGCAAAATTTGCTGTTTGGTAGCAAACTTTGCTAGCTGTTTTATAAAACGACAAAACACTGCATTAACCTCTAAATGAATACTATAAAAAATAACATCTAACATTTTCACCGGTCAAAATGCTAAAAGCTGTTTTTTTTTTTTCAAAATGCTAAAAGCTACTTAAAAAGCTGTTGTCGAACACCGCCTAAATGTCAAATAAACTCCTAGTGATATATGATGATAAGATTAGCCAATATCTGCATAGATGGATTTGCGAAACTGATTTTAAGTTCTTTATTTATTTATTATTTTAATTTCCATATTTGTTTGCCCGTAATCTGGAATTCACATTGTGGTCTTGGTTCTTTCCTTCGTCTAGTGAGAATGGTGTTACTGTATCTTGCAATTCATGTGATTCGTATTCTATGAGTGAAAATTAGGTTTAGCAATCGGGCATTAATAGCTATTAGATGTGTGTCGTGAATACAAATAATCCTGAGATAATTGTCTGAATTGTTTAAGGTTTCTGTATCCACTACCAGGTGCTTACTGATCATCATGTGCAAGATTTAATGAGCATCTTCTGCTAATTTTATTTCACTTGGTGAATCAGTTTGCCTTGATTTTACATATCTTATCTCATATTGCATCTATTTATTAAGTAAATCCAAATGAGCCGATAAATTTTTTCTTGCAGTTTCGTGGACATGTAAAGGCGTTACTTTAATGGATTTCCAAAGAACAAATTTGAATGTACCATTCTAGAGGCAATAGAACATTCCCTTATATATGACGGAAGATATGTGCAGAATGGTGCTCGTTGTTTCCTGCTCCAGCATTTGGAGTATATTGTCAAGGAACAAGCCATAGTGATGCCCTTTGTCAGTAGATGCCTAGTAACATTCAATTCCTATTAAGCGGCACGTCACAATCCTCTGCCATTCGTTTGAGCAGTTCCTTTCAATTACAGGAGCAGTTTCCGCAGCATCAGCAAGTTCTCCTATTAGACCTTAGGCAGCTTTAAACTGGATAAGTCATATGTTATTTAAGTACTTTTTCTCTCTTCTTCATCTTTATTGTCCAGTTTACCATGTGTATATTAAGGATCTGAGTTTTCTTACAGCAGTAGTTATTTTTCATCAGGTGACGTCTGTCAACAATGTTTTGGAAATAGTGGAAATGTTTCACTTTGTATAATTCTTCCTGTTTGAAAAATGTATTACAATCAAAAGCTAAATAACATACTTCTTTCTGTGAATTAACTGCTTCTGAAATCAAGTATCCTATATCCTGATGAGACTCAGCTTAGTATTTACAGCTTGAAAGTGTAACAACACTCAAACACCTCCTATCTTCTGCAGGAAACATGCCACGCAAAAGTGAAGCTAAGCTTTTGTGTTTAGCTAGTATTATCTTGATGTATCAGGAAGCTCAGCCACATGAAAAGCCTGAGAAATCCCATGAATTATGAACTGCTTTGCTGAAATGATTTCTGGCGCCACAATCTCCACTCCATTAATGAAAATTCCTTGCGAGCCATTGAAACCAGCAGTTACCTGCAGTTCTTGACCAGAAAGGAGTGTACCAAGTAATTTCTTTTCTGGCAAAGAAGCAAATTCTGAATATGTAATCCTTTGAGGCAGAATATGAAGCCTGACAACCCTATCAAGAACTGGTGAAGGAGAGGCCAAAAATTCAAATTCTTGAGGAGTGAAAATTGTAACAGAATACAAATCTCTAAAATCTTCAAGAATCCCATCAAGAACATAATTCAATCCGATTGCGAAAGACACAAATCCATTAGAGCTTAACAAACGAACAATTCTAGTCCATTCAATCAAATTCTTAGTCTCATCAATATCCAAAACTAAACTAAAATTTGAATCACAAATCGGAGCTTGAATAGAAAAATCCCAAATCTTATCAAAATCTTTAAAACCACTTCCCAGAAAAGAAAAAGGTCCAAGAACGCCATGAATTGCCAAATTTCCTTCGAGAAACAAATCAGGATGAGAAACCAACACATGATTAATCTCTAATAATCTCTCTTTTGCATCAACCATCGTTAAAGCAACATTCTTTCTCCGTTTAAAGCAACATTCTTTCTATGAATAAGCCGTGGGTAAACAGGCTACCTTTAGGTTTCTTTAAAAGATCATTCCATTTAAAAATAATAAAGGAGAGGTATGGTATGAAGGAGATGTTTTTCAAGAACCAATGGAGGGAAAGAAAGGCTTGAATAAGAGCAGAGTCTTTATGACGAAAATTGTTGAATTTGGAGATGAAAGAAAGATTTCAGGAGAAATTTAAGAGAAGAGTAGCCATTAAATTGAAGACGCTGATTCTTAATTCAGGAGAAATTAAGAGAAGAGTAGCCATTAAATTGAAACCTGATTTTCTTAAAGCTATTGATGCATTGAGAATTAGTTGGCGGTTTATTGGTCTGTTTGGCATTGGTGTTGTTCCGCTTCCTGAAGAATGCAGAGAAGAGGAGATGGCTATGAAAGCTAAGATTACTGAGACAGTAAAGTAAATTGGTGCACGCCACCAACCGGAACAAGAAGAAGACGCCATTGATTTGCAGTGAAATGACCTTTCTTGAAGATTGATTCTTGAAAGAGAGAAGGTTGAAGGGAAATAAAGAATGGGGAGGGAAAGCAGTTTAAATATGGAAACCTAACCAGTCGAAGTCGGTGAAAATATTAGTACTGTTTATTATCCGTTAATAAATGGCTTTGGGCATTCGGGTTTTTGTGCTGTGGATGGGCGCTGCGGTTAATTTTAATAAGAATGCTTTTAAGTGATTTATAGTTTATACTAATTTTTATAACTGTGCACAATACTTGAATCCGCAAGTTATAAACACGTTGAAATGAGAATGGATTTAATGTATATTTGCCGTCAAATAAATAATAAATAATAAAAGTGTTATTAAACACAATATTTAAGAAAAATTACTAAAAAAATTAAATATATTTAGAAACATAAATATACAATAATTTTACAAACTGTACATATATTATAATAACACATTAAAATTAAATTTCTTAATAATAATAATAATATTTATTATTATTATATCAACGATGAAAATAAAATTTTCTATATAAGAAAACAACTGACAAAAATTAAAAATAAAAAAAATTACTATTTCATCTCTATATATGTTTTAAAATACACCCAATCTAAACGCAGTCGTCCCGTATAAAATATTTCCAAAAAAATAACTCGGCCCATCATCTTTCGTGAACTCTGCCGCTTGAGAGAGGAAAGAGGGGGAACTGTGTAACAGAGAAAAAGCGGCAGATGGGAACTGGAAGGAGGAGGTCACAAGGCGGAGGTGGAGGCGGCAGGAACCAAAGGATGCTTAAGCATCACGTAGACTCTTGCAAGAAAAAATTCTCAACCTCGGATGATATCGCCCACCACCTCCTCCAAAACCACTCCAACTACCGGCGTATGGAACTCAAGACCTTGATTAGACTCGTAAACCAAATTCTACATTCTTCATCACCATCGCCATCATCATCGCTCAAAAGCTCTTCCTCTCCCTGGCAACATGAAGAGGAGGAAGAGGATGGTGTTTCCATTAATCCTAGTCAATCTCGTAAAAGAAGGAAGCAAATTGATGATAGCGAAAAGAGATTGCTGCAAATCGAAAATGATTATACCAAAAGAATTGACCGAAATCGGCCGACAACCTCCTCATCGGAATCGGAGTCAGACTCAGAGTCACCGCCTTCTTCTTTAGCAGTTTCAACTTCGGAGGATGGAATTTATGAAGAGAAAGTGGAACCGGAGTTTGATTTAATGCAATCAATGTTACGCCAGAGTTATGCCACCGAATCAAAAGAGAAAGAGAAAGAGAAAGAAAAAGAGAAGGAGAAGAATATTGAAATGGAGGTTGCTAGTAATAGCAAAACCAAAAATAAGGTTGACATTGTAAATTCACGCAAAGGTGAAGAAGAAGCCAGGAGATTGGGGGCTAATGTGAGAAATGAGTGGAAAGGGAAGGTACAGTTGTTTGATACCGATAGTGTGGAGGTTAAGGGGAAGGATGGGCCTAGGTTCAGGGATTTAGGAGGAATGCAGTCAGTGTTAGAAGAATTGGAGATGGAGGTGTTTTTGCCTCTGTATCATCCTCATGTGCCGCAGCGGCTTGGAGTCAACCCGATAGGTGGGATTTTACTCTATGGGCCGCCTGGCTGTGGTAAGACCAAATTGGCTCATGCAATTGCCAATGAGACTGGAGTTCCCTTTTACAAGATTTCAGCTACAGATGTAGTTTCTGGGGTTTCAGGTATTCATTTGAAAAATGTTTTCCCTCTCTAATTATTACTGTATGAAATTGTTTATTATATTACGCTCTTGATTGCTATCTTAAACTCTTTTTCATTTGTGTTGTAATTTTATTTGTTACTTTTATTTTATTTTATTTTTCCGTTTTATAACAAGTTGAGCTCAATGTCATTTTAAGTTGGATTATGATTTTTGATTTGTAGAAAATCGAGCTTTTTGTTGATTAAGTTTTGGCATAGGCAAGGACAGCTCCCATTCATTAATTTTTTTTGGAGCTGGCAATTGTTCAACCTGCTTCATTTCTTTCTTTATGTTGCATTTTATCTTGTCCCATGACTGTTGATAATTTGTTGTTGAAGATGTGTTTAAAGTTTTATTAATTCACTTATTTTTTTTTTTGTATTATTATTCAGAAAAAAAGTTGATGCCTGGTGGTTTGCAAAGATTATCATGCCGTTTCTTAGAATATTGAGTTGTTGGAGAAATTGTTTTTCAAGTATTTTTCTTTAATATCTTCCATTTAGCTTTTGATCATCGAATTATTATTTTTCTTTTTTCATTTTATCATTTTTTGATCCTTCTATGAAACTTGTCTGGTTTTTATATCTAATTTTTGTCTTTCATTTTCAATTGCTTGAAATTTCAGGTGCATCCGAGGAAAATATCCGAGACCTGTTCTCCAAAGCATACAGGACTGCTCCATCAATTGTTTTCATTGATGAGATTGATGCAATTGCTTCAAAGAGAGAAAATCTACAGAGGGAGATGGAGCGAAGGATTGTGACACAATTGATGACATGCATGGATGAATTTCATAGACTTTTACAACCATCTGATGCAAATTCAGACTTAGAAAGTTCTGACAAAAAAACTGGCTATGTTCTTGTAATTGGAGCTACCAATAGGCCTGATGCCATTGACCCTGCATTAAGGCGGCCTGGAAGATTTGATCGTGAGATTAGGTTAGGCGTGCCAGATGAGAATGCTAGGGTTGAAATTCTGTCAGTCCTAACTAGAAAATGTACTCTTGAAGGTTCTCTTGATCTTTTACAACTAGCTAGGTCTACGCCAGGTTTTGTTGGAGCTGACTTGCATGCTTTGGTTGACAAGGCTGGTAATCTTGCCATGAGGAGAATTCTTGCCCAGAGAAAGTCTGAGCTAACCAGAGAATATCCAGACAAGGAATGTCCTGAAGAATGGTGGAAAATACCTTGGTTGCCTGAGGAGATTGAAAAGCTTGCCATTACAATGGCTGATTTTGAGGTAATATTGAGCAGTGAACTATGGATGCAATTGTTTTGAATTTGTAATGAAGTTTAATCTTGCATATCATAAGTAAGTTAAAAGCTAGGGGAAAGTTGGAGAGATTTTACAATACCTTTTTAGTTTTTACACCTAATTGTACATTGTTGTTCATCTCTCAATCTTTGTTAAACACTGGGATGAAGATAGAATCCAGATTTGAATTTGCCTTTCCAGAGCTCTTGCATAAATTTCTCATACTTTCGGTGTTGGGTCCAAAGTTTCATCCATCCACCATAAAAAAAATTTTCTCCTCCAGAATTTTTGTTATTACTGCTATTTTTCTTTTTCTTCTTCTCCAAGGGCAATGGTTTTTGGCTGATTGTAGGAAGTGGGGCGTTAAACAACCTTTTCTTGTGTCATGCTGAAGCAATTTAGATGTTGGGGCTTTTGCAATTTTCTTTTTCTTTATTTGTCTCAATAAATTAGGAAGTGAAATTCTATGTTCATTTTTGGAAGCTATTTGCAATTCTTGTGTCATGTCAAACAGGATACTTTGAAGTGTTTTAGCTCCTCCTTGAGTGCTCCCAAATTTGACATCCAATGCTGCAAATCGACGAACCAGAAAAAAAAAAAAAACTTTAATATACATATCCAGTTAATGCACTTAATATGTGCTGCTGTAATGCTTTACTAACTGCTGCTTGATGCTTTTGCAATTTTTATATATTTTTTCTCATCCTAAAGATTTTGGTATTGACAAAACGGTAGAAGTTTTTTCCTCCTTTCACCCCCCAATGTTTTTTAAACTTTGCAGCAAGCAGCTAAGATTGTTCAACCCTCTTCAAGAAGAGAAGGATTTTCTACCATTCCTAATGTGAAATGGGAAGATGTTGGCGGGCTTGAATCTATAAGGAATGAGTTTGACCTTCACATAGTTAGGCGTGTTAAATATCCTGAGGATTATCAGGTACTAATTGTCTACTCTTCACTTCCAAATTATTTCATTTCACTCTGAAAACACTTTCTTGACCATGAATTGTTCTTTTGGTATGCTTCTGTTTCACTTGATTCTGAGATTTTTGTGTCTCTACATCTGTTAATACTGTCTTAGATGCTTTCCCTTTTGTGGAGCAATGCCGAATGATTTTAATTTCTTCCATTGGACTTTAACTTGAAGGTGGTGGTATTATTAATGAATGGCTGGTTGTGTGATTGAGTTTGTAATCCTAGATTTCTTTTTCAATTCAGAAATTTGGAGTGAATTTAGAGACAGGAATTTTGCTTTATGGCCCTCCAGGATGTGGTAAAACACTGATTGCCAAGGCTGTTGCTAATGAGGCTGGAGCTAATTTCATTCAGAAATTTGGAGTGAATTTAGAGACAGGAATTTTGCTTTATGGCCCTCCAGGATGTGGTAAAACACTGATTGCCAAGGCTGTTGCTAATGAGGCTGGAGCTAATTTCATTCACATCAAGGCAAATCCTTAAGTTTCTTCTTGTTCATTTTTTTTATAATCTCCTTTTTCTTATTTAGTATAGTGCTGTTTGTTGCTTCTTTTCAACTAGTTTTACACATAATGGTGCCTAGTTAGAGAGTTTTAAACCTTTCTCATAATAAATTTTGTGACTGGTTAGGGTCCTGAACTTCTGAATAAATATGTTGGAGAAAGTGAATTGGCAGTTCGGACATTGTTTGGTCGTGCAAGGATCTGTGCGCCATGTGTTCTTTTCTTTGATGAGGTGCATGCTCATGTCTCTCCTTTATATTTACTGTTTATTGCCTGATATGTATTGAATTTGTTGTAGTGGAAACCTGCCTGTGAAAATAGATAATTGGAATTATTTTGGCATTTTACTTCTCTGCGATGTTCAAGAACTTTTTTATTGGATGTTAGAATTTCTAATCTATTTTGTACATCCACTATTCTCCGCTTTTGAATAATGAATTGCTCCATTTTGTTGTGAGATCTAACTTTTACTATGTATTATACCCGACTCTGCATCCCCTACTTCTTGTCAAGCTCACAGAAAATTATGCTTGTTGCTTATCAATGCAGTGTTGATGAGGACAGT